TCCATCATCTCGATTAGCATTTTAGGCAGTTTTGTTCCTTTTTAGGTAAATGGACTCGCCCGTGACATCACGTCATGGCGTCGCGGACAACCGATATTTGAGCGAAGTTGTGGAGAAATGTCACCGCTGCTGCTGTAAAACATGCGTTTGAAATCATATGCATTAAGAGCCATAAAGAATGGTCCCTTCCAAAAAGATTGGTTTGTGTTTTATAATTTTCGATTGAAGATTAATTGTGCGACAGCCTTGATATTAAGCGAGGGGTTCCCAGGTGACCTAAAATGCGTTGCACTCCTTGTGTTTTTATTATACGTATTACGTATTTTTTATTTAATGAAAATTTCGGTATAATTGATAGGTACGCAAACTCCTGTGATTGAATTGTGAAAACAATTTGTCTTTCTTCCGTCATGCGTAAACACTGGCGAGGGTGTAGGAGATAATTGATTTATTACTCAAGGTGAAGCCCTAGATATTAAATGCTATAACTTTTTGAATTGAAAGACGGTAGAATTTTTTGATTCAAGTTTCAGTTGGAGAGAATTTGTGTTTAGATTTTCTAATAAAAACATCTTACTGTGTCGGCAAAATTTTTATTGTGTCGCATGCATGAAATATGAATCGTTACTGTTTCGGAGAAAATTTTACTGTGTAGGGAGCAACACAGTAAAACAGCTCATGGAGAACCCTGATTCTTACGAGCACAATCATGCACATTCCATCATTTTGTTACAATTTAAGGTCTTGAACATCATCGGACGCTATTTTGTGGTCTTGGTATTTTCCATACAAGTCAACTGGTAAAAGGGGTTCACGACAGAACATCATAAAACACGGAGATTCCTTAGTGCTCTCTTGGATAGAAGATCTGTATGCTAACATCACAAATATGGTAGTTCCCGACAGGAAGTTTGGGTTGACACTTGGGCAACAGATTTACAGGACCCCCGAAATTCGCCGTTACGAGTTCGTGAAATAGGATAAAATTTTCATTAATTTCTAAAATGGTATTTACTAGTATAAGCCTGGGGCTCGTAACATAAAGCTTGCAAAGTTTTTGACTTAAGTAGGGTCATAAGTACGTTTTAGGCACAATCTTAGGACCTGCCTAAGTACTACTTAAGTATGTCTTAAACCGTACCATAAAGCGAACTTAGGAATGTCTTAGCTAAGTCAAACTTATGTTCAAAATATTTCTTATGAATCACCATATATTTTTTCATTTTATTCAGATATATTGCTACAAAATGATTCGGGTACGTTTTAATTAAATATTCATAAAGGTTAACGTCCTTACCTATCGTTTAAGTTATGTAAGATTAGATTTTGTATTAAAGATATAATTTAATTTGCTGTAAAATACACTGCATCATTGATTAAGAAAAAATACTGAGCGGTCACAAAACGGTGATCTGTGGTTCATTGTAAATGTATGACTATTGTTTATCCCCCGAAGCTGCGATGTTTTCAGTTACCGTTTATTGTTCTTTTGTTTTGACAAATGTTCACTTGCTTTGTTATTCTCGTAGACATGACAAAATAACCGAACGTCTGTCTACTTTAAATTAAAACTCTAAAAAAGTGCAACACATTTTGAATCCCCCCCCCCCCCCCGATGTCTCAGTCCATGTCAGCAAGCAAAGATTGGAGTAGTTATAATTGTTTACAATTACATCAAGAGTGGAAATTCTTTCAGGATATCTTTTTTCCATTTACCCCCCCTCTCTCTCTCTCTCTCTCTCTCTCTCTCTCACCCACCTAGATCTGTCTCTTGATCAATCGATCGAACTCTAGGAAACCCTGTCGAAATATGCGCTTGCATTCTACATTTATTTTAATTTACAGACGCTCTTTATTAGTTTTTTTTTGGTCATCATCCCCTTACTCCCCAACATTTTTCTATGTTTAAAAATCTTTGTCATCTCATATTTTCAAAGTCAACATACAGATCCATAAATAAGACTATTACTGTACGTGTTCAATTTGATTAGTGGATTAGTGTTTATATCGATCTAGGTAGGTTTTGATTTTTTTGTTTTGAACATATTTTATTGTATAATTTATACAATGGGATTGGTTACAAGTTCTTGCAACTTAAAAAAAAACTTCTAGGTAGGTCCCACTAATTTCAGAGGTATCCCCCAAATTAAATTTTGCATTTTCATGTATGATGTCTTGACAGTAATAGTGGAATCTTTGATCAGTAACCCCCCCCCCCCACCCCGACGCAAAAAATTCTCATGATAGTATTTAATAGGAATTATTATTTTCTTTAATGCATATAATGAATAGAGGAATGCTTTAACATAGAAAGTCAGCACAAAATAGTTTTGAATAGATGTATAAGAATGTTAAGATATACTTAAGTCACCTCTTCCGACCACCTAAGTTTTGCTAAGATTGTCAAATCTTAGCACGCTTCTAGTTACGGTCTTAAGTTTTAGACTGTACTTAAGTCCTACTTAAGCACGGTCTTAAACTTAAGTAGCCTTTATGTTACGACCCCCTGGTCGCGGCCAAGAGTGGTCTTATAATTTTTAGTAGCAAAATATGAGTAAACCAGGGGCTCGTAACATAAAGCTTGCTAAGTTTTTGACTTAAGTAGGGTCGTAAGTACGTTTTAGGCACAATCTTAGGACCTGTCTAAGTACTACTTAAGTATGTCTTAAACCGTAACATAAAGCGAACTAAGCGAGGTCTTAGCTAAGTCAAACTTCTGTTAAAAATATTTCATATGAGTCAACCAATGGATTTTGATTTTATATAGATATATTGCTAAAAGTTATTCAGTTAGGGTTTTAATTAATTACATATTAATGTTGACGTCCTTGCCTATCGGTTTAAGTTATTTTAGATTAGATTTCGTATTAAAATTATAATTATGTTATGAATTGTTCGGAATGTTTGGAAACAAATACCGCAAGGTCAGAAAGTGTCGATTTGTGATTCATTGTAAATGTACGACAATTGTTTTATCACATGAGATGTTTTCAGTTTACCTTTTGTAACTCTTTTTGTTTTGACAAATGTTCACTTACCCTGTTATTATCGCAGACAAGAAAAGATAATCACCCTTTATCTACTTAAAATTGAAACTCTAAAAAGTTCATTACATGTTGAATTTCTGCTATGTATTATCAGGCCATGCATGTCAGAAGCAAAAACTGCAGACGTTTTATGATATACTCATTTGCAATTTAATCAAGGATACAAAAAAAAATAGGGATTTTTTTTTCACATGTCTCCACTTAACAGCAATTTTCTCTCTCTCTCTCGAACTGTAGTGAGCCCTGTCTAAATCCGCACTTCTCGCGTTCTACATTAATTTTATACTTTACAGATACTTTTTATAATATTACTGTTACTGTCATCACCCTCTTTCTTTTCTGTTAATAACAAATTATTTCAACTCATATTTTCAAAGTGAACATACAGATCCATGGTTTATTACTGTGTTCAATTTATTTCTATAACCGAGACCCCACTAAGTTCAGACGTATCTCTAAAATTAAATTTTGTATTTACATGAATGCTGTGTAGGGAGTGATCCCTAAAATTATTTTTATTTATTTACATGACTGTATGCTATGTTGGGAGTGATATTGGAATCAGTGATTAGCCCCCCTTCCCCCACGAAAAAATAAAATTCTTAAATCATGCAGCGTCAAATAGAGATAATTATTTTCTTTAATATATATTATGAATAGAGAAATGTTTTAACATCGAAAGTCTACATTAAATAATTCTAAATATATGTACAAGAAAGTTAAGATATACTTAAGTCACCTCTACCGACTGCCTAAGTTTTGCTAAGATTGCCAAATCTTAGCACGCTTCTAGTTACGGTCTTAAGTTTTAGCCTGTACTTAAGTCCTACTTAAGTACGGTCTTAGACTTAAGTATCCTTTATGTTACGACCCCCAGGTTTTTATGAAAGAAATCAACAAGCAGATAATAAAGTTTTCAAATTAATATTCCGATAGATATTCGAAAATTTAATAATGATATTTAACAAAATTAACAACAATTTAATGAATTCATATTTAAAGGTATGGTCTCACAACTACACTTGCAAGATTTACAGATCCCCCGAAGTCAGATAAAATTAAAGTAATTTTCTAATGCCGAATTTCATAAATAATACATAAATAAAATATATTTCTATTAAAGTACTTTGACATTTCACAGATCGTCTGGGAGCGACTTAAACTGAATTAAAAAAAAATTCCACAAATTTCTCCAACAAACTAGACAAAAAAGTTTATTATTATGTTTTTATTTTGAATGAATCAAGTTATATTTTTTTAAAATATATATCAAACAACAGGTGACTTTATCATATGCATGAGCTTCTGTTTTTATTGTCTATACACCGTTTAATAGTTTTAAGCGTTAACAAAAATATTGAAAAAATGGAAAAATCAGCAGATAAACAAAATATAACAAGACATATCTCAGAAGCTAACTTTGTCTTTTGGCAAGATGATAAAATGCAGAAAAGAAAGAAGGAACCACAGAAAAACATGTTTTAAGTTTGTCTTTGTTCAATAAAATCATTATATTGAATTGATGAAGGAAAACAATATTGATGTTCTTACATGTACAAGAAATACAGATAAAACAAGCAGAAATATTAAAATACATGTAATTTTTATTAAAACGTGAGATAACTTTTACAGTTTTACCAATTTCTGATGCAGTTACAAATATTTAAGGATACAATAAATGATAAATTATACAACGATCAGGAATGGCTGTCATCCTATTACAAACATTGAGTGAATGAGCACAAGGCAAGCCATAAATCCAATAATAAAAACTGGAATACATGATATTCCGACGGACAATATAAACCAATCTGAAAATAAAAACGTAACGCAATGAGCAATAGAATAAGATATTAAATCTGTTGTTCAAAGAACATTGGGCAAGTACATGTACTGATCATGAGTTAGATTAATTTTTTATAACTATTCAAGTATATTAAACGTCATACATACCTGGAGGTGTATAACCGGAGCCCTTGACCGGCTTTTTGACATTAACAAGCAATATTCCTGTAGTTTTATCAGCACTGTCATCACAGCAGAGTTTCACCATATAAGAGTTTACGTCCTTATAAGAAAAGGCGGGATTTGCGCTGGTTAGAATGGAAAAGACGCCGCGGAAAGCGCCTGCCGTCGAGTTCCCAGTAACATTGAAGTTCAGCGAAGGAGGAGACACACTTTCTAGCAAGCAGCAAACCTCGTCTCCAGAGGGATCCTCAACAATCGTGGAGTATAAAACTTGATCTCCGCCAGTCTGCTCAGCAACAGCCATGGAGTTGGGAAGATCCAACATTTCTGGAGGCTACCAAATCACATATGAAAAGTAATTAAAGAAGATTTATCAGACGAGAGAGATTCAACCTCCTCATAAAGAGAACGAAATATACTACAGTTGTGACGAGAAAGAAACTTATCCCGAGAGTATGGGTCTAAGTGATACTTTTAGCCTTTATTGAAAATCGTGCAAGTGAGAAGTTAACTTGCATTTTTCGCAAAAGTAAAAGTTTCATGCAATAGTCTGACACATGTTGAATTTTATAGGGAAGAAACAAAAATTACCATATTTTGTGATTCTACGGAAACTGTCACTGTGGCACTGGTATTACAGGCATCCCTTGCTGCTACACGCACTAGGTAGTCCTTTAGAACTGTAGCTCTCTGCATCTTTTTTGCGATCTTTACTTGTCCTTTAAAAATGCATTAAATATGCCGAATTTCTTTACATATGTCATTTGTTTTAATAAGTTAGTGACATCTTGCAAATACTTCATTCTTATTTGGACACAACCAATTATTGGACAGAAATGTTTTTGAACATACTACATGTACTTATGCTAAAAACGCATGTCTAACACATACCTATTCCGTCCACGACAAAGTATTGAGGGGAGTAATTAAATGCAGGATTGGGGTGCTCCATTACGGTGAAGGTAACATCCTCAGCGTAGTCTACCCCTTCAGCCTCTAACACCATCACAAAGTCACCAACTGCTAAATGGTCAGGGATCTCAGCCGACTGATTTTGATTGTTAAAAGACATTGGTGTATCTGAAAAATTTTACATTTTGAAATAAATACAACGTTTAACCCTCTAATCGTACTTCTGAAAACTTGAAATATTTCACATTTCGAACACATTTTAATTTTTTTTTTAATCTTAGTATTTCATTTTTCTGAACCAAAACTAATAAAAGTATTTCTAAATTAATGAAAACGTCTTATCTACGTGGAATCATCACTACATAAGACCCTAACAAAAATCGGATTAATGATTTACTTGTACTCTTTACTTTCTTAAAATATGAGAATAAGGAAAATTAATAATAATAAAATAATATAGATGATAATAGTAAAGGTAAAGATTAATGAACTCATCTTATTTTTTCAAATTAAAACGACTTTAACTTTATTGGGCTATTAAGTGATTAGCCTTTATCTTCTTGTATACTTTTCTAACGAGAAAAAAAAATTTGATTTCATTACAAACTTTTGATCTGTATAAACTTGAGATCTTGTGCACCTACTTTCAAATATATCATAGACAGTTTAAATCCTACTAGTACTATAATTTTTCCTTCAGATTTTTTAATTTTCATTTTGAAAAATAGTCATTATAATCCTCAATATAAATTTTAAAAGCGTTGCATATTCATGTTTTAAAACTTTAAACTTAAATAACACACAAAAATATTCGTAATTTCATTTAACGCTTAGTTCTTTGCCCCTAGAAAAGATGATAAACAGATTTTTGTCATTTTGAAACTGGATATGATCTTACTTTCCTCAAGGCAAGCTTTAATAGCATAAGCAGTGGTATTGACTACAGTTCCCTTGGTTTTCCAATCGAACAAGTCCCCTCTGATTAAATTTTTGGCAGAGTACGCTTTTAACCCCTCAGCACAAGGTCCTATACAATTTCCGTTTGTGATTATATTGCCATCATCATTGTCTGCCAGAGAGCGCCTACAATTACACATTTATCAATAAATTTAGTAAAACATCAAAAAGGGTTTGTATAATACAGTTAAGCCTCATTATCGTGAAAAAAATGATGCAGTCAAGCCTAGTTAGCTCGTTTTAGATTTAACCGAGATATCCAAGAATTCAAGATAACAGAACTCAACTCCATTTCAAGTTGAAATATAAGTGTTAAGAAAGAGGCAAAAGTATTAGACCTCTTTGCCATCTTGTCCTTTCTGTAGCATAAAAATATATGGGAAAATGTCGACATACATAAATAAATGTTACATAAAAAATGAAATTACTTTCAAAAGCATTTGCAACCTTGACTCTACATATTTTTCACTCTATGATTAAAAATATCTATTTACGTAGTAAAACCGAATAAATCAAAATGATAATTAGAAAAAATCAAAAATGGATGCATGGATCTTACCACCCAATTAAGTCACCGTCTAGAACAGCAATCCTTTCATATTCAACAACTGTGTAGGTAGTCGTATTGACACCTTTAAAACAATTGAGAAATTTATGCACATATATGATTTTTTTTTCATTTCTAGAGAAACTAATATCATTTTGAAAATCCTAAATATTGCACAGTTCAACATGAAAATATAATTTCATTTACAATCAAAAAACCGTTTTCTTTTATTTTTCAGAACTTGATGAAATTAATACCTTCAACATAAAGTGTGTTGAAAGCTACCAGCTTATAGTTATTGCCAGAAGGTCTCCACACCATAAAATCTATCCATCCAGACCTCGAATAGGAAAACTCCCATGAAGTAATACGTGAGCAAGATGTTATTCTGAATACAAAATCCGTCATCAGGTACATCATTCCTAAGAGTAAAATGTAAAGTGTTCCGTCAAAATTCATAAAATTAAAAAATCAAAAATACATGTAGCTCAGTATAAAATGAGAAACTTTTCCATACAGAATTGCAAACAGGAATGTTTGGCAATAAGTACCTCTAGATCCGCTAGTGTATGCCGTCAGATCCTCGGGATAAAGATAAATTAAGCTGTTTAGACATGGAGCAGCTAGAAAATGAGGAAAAGAATATATTTGTAATTTTTCCATCTTAAATCCTGCATTATAAATTTCTCAGAAATATATTCTATAATAATATTACGATGTTTCATTGAGTTTTAACGTAAGATAACATAGAATAAGATTTCATTGATTCCTTCCTTTATCTCGAGTCCCCCATAATCTACCCTGACACCAAAAATAAATTTAATTTTCAAATCACAAAATATGCAATCAACTCCAGTGTTGATTAAAGAGAATATTACTTATTCAAATATTACCTTCAACATCACCTTTTCTAGAAAATAAACATCATATATCTAAGAAAGATTGTGTTAATTGTAATGAATTTAATTTAGTTGTGCTTACTGACTCCTTTGTTTCTCAAAGATACCCCAGTGGTAGTGATTACTCGTGGAGTTGGACACTTGCTTAGAGCCTCAACAACTGCAGCTTCAATGGAAGGTAAATCTTCATAGGAGGAGGCGAAGAAGTAACGGTTAATGTCATCAGCAGTTTTCTTATATTCCTTTGAAAAACTGCTGTTAATGTCTAAAAGAAGAAATGAATATAAGTATCAAGTGCATTTATTAAACTCAGGATGAATATATTCTACATACAACGAATGTATGTTCATGATCACTCAAAGAAAGCTTAAGTAATCACTATGCAAAAATGGCTCTTAATTAATTTAAAAAAAAAACGAAAGATAGCAGGGATTCTCCTTTACCGATAGAATATATCTGGTTGGGCCAATCTGCTGTTATGACTGCCCCTTGTAGGGATGCACCAGCTCTAATTCCGTCCACTGAGAAAACGTAATAATTTGCTGCGTCAGCGCGATCGCCATTGTCCTCCGTGAAGTAAACAGTCCGTGCATAGGCCAGTGCTCTGTCTACGAGGTTAATTGGGTTTACACCTTCTTGTATCCTCATAATAGCATTGCTTACTTCATCAGCGGTTGTGTATGTATCAAGGTCAAACTGCTTGTATCCTTTATAGTCGTATGTCATGGCACCAATACGGATAGAGTCTGATGCTACATTAAGTTGACGGGCTATGTTAGCAAAAAAGCTTTTTAGGTAAACAAAATTGGAGCCAGCAGAAGAACTTGATGCTTCCAGCATGAATAATATATCCAGTTTGCAATCTAAAACATGTAAATATTTCATATTTAATAGTTCTGTCTTAAGTTGTTACAAGTTAACCATTTTTTTCATTATGAGTATGTTGAATGGATTGAGGGTTTCCATGTACATTTGTCGTGTATATCAACTTACTTGGTATTTCGATTTCAGTTGCATTTTCTGTCGGACACTGGGTTATGTTGGACATGACAACCTCATTGTCACACTGAAGGTCTATGAAGTTACTGGATTTCATGTATCTTCCCTCCAACACTGCACCCTGAAAATCCGCATCAAAGCTGGAGGGAATATCAGCAGCTGAAAATGTGGTAAATGTCGTAAAAATAGCAATGCAAAGTATGCAGAAGTTATTAAAATTATAAAATCCCTTGAATGGTCCTACGTTTCACTTGATTAATTACAGGAGGCCCATGAGCCAGATCGATCACCCGAGCACTGTGGCTAGAGAAAAAAGCAAAAATCAAACCAGCATTGAAAAAGCTTTATTGTCCAGACCTACTCCTACAAAAGGGGGAGGGGGTTGCGGTTTGATTTGAATACTAGTAACTTGAAACTTCACTATGAATGGTTATATATTTCATTTATTGATACTGTGGTTTTTTTCTTATAAGTTTGTACTTAACACTGCGACATTTAAGTCCGGACACGACAAAGTCCGGACTTTTAGGTACCCTTTCGAAAAGACCTACATTAGATTTTTTTCTGTATTTTGGTGGGATTTTTTATTCTGACCTCATCATGTCAATCTCAACTTCCACATTGTAGTAGTTTTCTCATAAACCTCTGTCAAAACCTAAAATCCCATGGGAGAATGGCGGGATTTTTCATCCCACCAAAAATCCCACCAAAATCCCATGGGAGAAAAAGTACTGTGGGATAATTTCTCCCACATGGGAAAAAAAATCCCACGGTTGTTGCAAAAATGGGATTATTTTTCCCACAGGACAAAATATCCCACTAATTGATGTCAATATAGGATTTATCCCATATTTTTGGTATGCGATGGGAGAAATTATCCCACTAACCTATTAAATATATAACAAATCTGAAATAACCACAATAAGTAACCTTAAGCACCGTTAAGAGTGGTGTTTTATTTCTAGTGCCGAAGAATGTATCATGTAGTATTCTCAAAATATTTTTTTTTCATTATCATTTTTTGTTATTTACCCCCAATAAGGCATATTGTCTTGCTACTGATGATTTGTCTGTCCACCATCAGTTGCCATTCATTTTCTTTGCAGTGGTTGTACACATTGAAATGATATTTTACATGTATCTATCATATGAATATCTAGGTCTACGCAGGTTATCTATGTTACAATATATTTCTTTAACTTCTCTGAATGATTATGATTGTAATGACAGCTGCTAATTTAACATAATTAATTAACATGATTAATGAATCCAAGATATGAACTTCATAATTCTGACAGTACTTTTTACATGTCTTTCGATTAAAAATGTGTCAAAGTCACAGATTTGTACTTCTGTTATTGTGTTTGATACAGTCATATTTCATTATTTGTTCACATGTAACATGTACCTTTGTTCACATGTAACATGCTCCTTCCTAACACTTCTTTCTGATAATAAAATGTATTTCTTTTTATTTACACCTGTTTAGTCTCTGTTGAAAGGTGAATTTACCCAAGGCTCATATACAGCTCTACTATCTGTACCAGTTGATATAACTTTGACCATTTACTGATTTATATACTCACTTGCTAGTTGCTTCACTTTGTGTTGAGATGATAATGAACTAATTCAAGCATGTTAAACCAATATCTCAAAGAAATGAATATGAATGAGACTAAATTGATTTAAATGTACTTGCATTAATCCTGAAAATTTAGTCTTTAAATCAATTCTTGACTAAAATCTGATCAAATCACCAAATTCTTCTTTCCGAGTTCTTGCATCTCTGTTGCAACAATTCATCAAATGATGTATTATTTTACTACGATTGCCAAGCGCAGTTAAGATCTCAGATGATTTACAGTCAACTCGTACACAAACCAAGTCGTACTTAAGGTTTTAAAAAAATTGAGGAGTCAACTCCTCTACAAAGGTTTTTCTTTATGTCTCTGATTTTTCCTATACCATTATGCGCAGATTGTCTTTGTTTTCCCGGTGTAATTAAATCTGAGGCATCAACTCCTACATACTTTAATATTGTAAAGGTAATAATATTATATCATTTTAGACAACTAAATTTGATTAATAAACATCACTGCAACAAGATATACATGTATGTAAAATTTTACATTTTAACATTAGTCTTCTTTTTGTAAGTGCAAGTAATATATGTGGATATAAATGTAACTTGATATAATGCAGATAAGAAAGTTATCTTAAATATTTCAACAACATTTAAACAACAACAAAAATAATATTCCAAATTGGCTTAATATGATTGAGAAAAAAAGAAAAAAAATGGTCATTTAAAGGCAGAGAACTTTTACCGGGTGGTATTTTTATTCCAGATGAGGGAGAGGCTAATTTTGTACAGGTGTGATTGCCTTGGAGCTATAGCACTCTACCTGCAGGAATGGATACACAGTGAAATACCCTAATTAAGGTGTCATTACAATGTATAACTAATTATACCTGTGATAGGGATTTTAAAACAACTTAGAATAAGGCTTCTCAAGTACCAAGGTATTGAATTATATATTTTTTAATGTTTAATTTAACATCCCTATCCTTTAAAAAAATTATTATATCATATACTATAATTACTGCCTTTATGAGGATCTCACCATTATATGACTCTTCGAGCATAACATAATTATGGATTCTCCCCAAGAAAATTTTTGTCCTTTAATATTTACAAATTATAATTTCAGATTTCAAAAGTTCATGCTTTTATAAGAAAAAAAATCCCATACTTGCCAAATTTCATTCAAAAATGAAAAAGTTATGACCATATAAGAGAACTGAACACACCGGTACGACTGACTGCATATAGCTTTGTTATGGATTCTCCCTATGTAAATTTCAGATCTTTTACAATTTATCATGTAAGATTTACATAGTTTATGCCATTGCAAGAAATATAAAACCAATTATACTTGTGAAATTTCAGTAAAAAAGGAAAAAGTTTTGACCATTTAAGGAAACTAAACACACCTGTATGACTGACTGCATTATTATAGCCTGGTGATGGATTCTCCCTATGTAAATTTCAGTTCTCTTACAATTGATCATGTAAGATTTACAAAGTTCTTGCCACTGTTAGAAAAATAAAACCATACTTGCCAAATTTCAGTGAAAGAGAAAAAAGTTATGACCATTTAAGAGAACACACCAGAGTATGTTACGCCTGACTGAATATAACCTGGTGATGGATTCTCCCTATGTAAATTCAGTTCTCTTACCGCTTATCATGCAAGATTTACAAAATTTATGCCATTGCAAGAAAAATTAAACCAAACTTGACAAATTTCATTGAAAATGAAAAAGTATTACCATTTAAGAGAATAAACACACCAGAGTACGCCTGACTGAATATATAGCCTGGTGATGGATTCTCCCTATGTAAATTTCAGTTCTCTTACCGCTTATCATGCAAGATTTACAAAATTTATGCCATTGTAAGAAAAATAAAACCAAACTTGCCAAATTTCATTGAAAAATGAAAAAGTGTTGACCATTTAAGGGAACTGAACACATCGGTATGACTGACTGACTGCATATAGCTTTGTGATGGATTCTCCCTATGTAAATTTCAGTTCTCTTACTGCTTATCATGCAAGATTTACAAAACTTATGCCATTGTAAGAAAACTAAAACCAAACTTGCCAAATTTCATTGAAAAATGAAAAAGTGTTGACCATTTAAGGGAACTGAACACACCGGTATGACTGCATATAGCTTGGTGATGGATTCTCCCTATGTAAATTTCAGTTCTCTTACCGCTCATCATGCAAGATTTACAAAACTTATGCCATTGTAAGAAAACTAAAACCAAACTTGCCAAATTTCATTGAAAAATGAAAAAGTTATTACCATTTAAGAGAACACACCCCGGTACGTCACTGACTGAATATAGCCTGGTGATGGATTCTGGATCCCTATGTAAATTTCAGATCTCTTACAATTTATCATGTAAGATTTATAAAGTTTATGCCATTTTAAGAAATATAAAACTATACTTACCAAATTTCAGTGAAAAAGGAAAAAGTTTTGGCCATATAAGGGAACTGAACACACCGGTATGACTGCATGACTGCATATAGCCTGGTGATAAATTCTCCCTATTTAAATTTCAGATCTCTTACAATTTATCATGTAAGATTTAGAGAGTTTATACCATTGTAAGAAATATAAAACCATACTTGCTAAATTTCATTGAGAGAGGGAAAAATTATGACCATTTAAGAGAATAGACCATTGACTGGGTATAATCTAATGATGGATTCTCCAAATATAAGAAGATATTGAAAAATATATTATACATGTATGAATTCTTAGTTATCATGGTTATTGAAATAAGTTGCAACAGATTTTTGAATGAGTCTTACATCAGAGACATAAATACCAGATATTACTAGGTCACTGCTCACATCCAAATATGTTGAATTTTTCACTTAAAAGATATAATTTTCATGACTGTTTTCATTGGTAATTACACTTGTCAATATAATTATCAATTAATAAAATTTCAAAAAATTGTATCTATTAATAATGATGATTAATATTTTTTGTATGTTCATCAATCAACACTTTGAAATGTGCTCTTTACTTGGAAAAACTTTTGAAAATAATTTTGAGAGTAGTTACTCTGAAACAAGCTACCAGGGTATGTACATACACAATTGGATTAAATAAACAGGAAACGGCACGTGTAATGATCAGTCATGCAGTGTGGAGATGAATTCTGGAATATATGTGTATATCATCGTATAGACTTAAACTCTGAAAGGTGTGAGAACCTTCCTTCGGGCAAAATTTCAATATATTTACAAAGGTGTGAAATTTAAGGTGTGAAATTCACTGATTTCAGGTTGATTGCTCTTGTACAAAGTTAAAAAGATTTTTTTAGAATTAATTAATTGAAAACCCATCTGCAAATCATCTCTTTCATAACAACACTAATAAAAGGGATTTTCATTAAAACTGCAATTAAATCAATCGGGTACTGCTTTGCATGTAAGCATTCAGTGGTCAGACTATCAATGGCTTCCTCTCTCTCTTTTTCTCTCTCTTGACACAGTATAAAATTATTGCATCAGCGGTATGAGAGAGAGAAAACATCGCACACGGCCGGGAATTTAAAAAGTTTTGATTTGGGT